TATTGAAGTCCCTCCCGTCCCCAAACCCTGTGCTCCTCAAGCTCCACTCCTCAAATCTCCAGTTATCTATTATTTTTAAGTATAGGCATAATGGGTATCCCACAAGAAAAAAAAAATTGCCCTACAAAATGAAAAAAACCTGGGTACGGCCCCGAACCATGAGAAAAGGCAGGATATAAATGTTTTAATAAATCCATAATAAATAAATCCTTTGAAGAGGCCGTTAGCTTCTTTGTAAAACAAAACGACATTTTAATGGTGTTTAGCATGTATAATACAAACAGCATCCAAAGGAGTCAAGTGGATCGGGACAGACCCAAAGGCTGTGGGGGCCAGGAAAAGGAACAGCAGGCGAAGGTCATTTGGAGTCAGAGCAAATTGAAATGGTCAAACACGGTGCGTTCTGGGTCAGAACCAAATAAGTTGGCACGGGAGCCACGGAAATTGCGGTAGGGAGAGCTCCTTCCATTCATGGAGGGTTGGGTCAGAAGAACCAGTCAAGACCAGAGGCAAAGAAGACGCGGGGGCAGCCGTAAGGCCCGCGAGAGGCCAGTTTTAAGCAGAGCGCAGAGCTTAAACGGCACATGAGGCTTGACGGGGTCCCAGTTTCAGGACGGCAGTCATGTTGGTCTGCAAGTCTAGATTCAGGTCCTGGATTCGAGTTCAGGAGCAACTTGGAGACCAACAAGATTTTTTGGGTACGAGTTTTTGAGAGTCAAAGTTCATCAGACTCCGGGAGCTTTGACTCTCGAAAGCTCATCAAATCTAGCTTTGGGTGCCAGGAGTAGATCTAAAGAGGTGGTTCCCTGAACAAGAACCTACATTCCTAGCTGGAAGACATTCTGTGCAATGCCAAAGCGTACAGGGACGGTAGCCATGAAGGGGTTTAGAACGCTTCTGAACAAGAGAGGCTGGGATTTCAATTCTGTGCAAGATTCCATTACAACTAAAGTTTGTTATTCCTGTTTGGTCCTTGAATCTGTTAAACATCTTCATTATGCTGTATGCTAATTTGCTGCTCACCCTCTAGACTGGTAACTTCCATGAAGAAAGAGGAAGAGGAGGAGGTGATTGAATTTATACCCTGCCCTTCACTACCCGAAGGAGTCTCAGAGCGGCTTACAATCTCCTTTCCCTTCCCCTCCCCACCACAGACACCCTGTTACAGAGCTCTTCTTACAGGGGCTACTGTAAGCTCTTGGAGGATTGGCTACATTAGGGGTGTGTTGCCTAATATGCAAAGGAGTTCCTGCTACAGAAAGAGCCCGCTGCTTCAGACCAACATGGCCGGCCACCTAAACTCCTGAAAGCCTGATGCCGAAAATAGCACTTTTGCATGCTGTCCACTAGGGTGCAGTGTTTATCACCTACGCTGTTCAGGACAGTCCAAGTTGCGATAAGTGTTCTCACTAAGCTGAGTCAGTGTGAGCTAGCTCACAGTTTTTTAGCCTCCGGCTCACACATTTTTGTCTTAGCTCAGGAAGGAGGGCTACAGAGTAGAGCTCTTCTTACAGGGGCTACTGTAAGCTCTTGGAGGATTGGCTACATTAGGGGTGTGTTGCCTATTATGCAAAGGAGTTCCTGCTACAGAAAGAGCCTGCCTGCTTCAGACCAACATGGCCAACTACCTAAACTCCTGCATTCCAGATGCCGAAAATAGCACTTTTGCATTCTGTCCACCAGGGTGCAGCGTTTATCACCTAACCTGTTCAGGACAGACCAAGTTGCGATCAGTGATCCCTCTAAGCTGAGTCAGTGTGAGCTAGCTCACAGTTTTTTAGCCTCCGGCTCACACATTTTCGTCTTAGCTCAGGAAGGAGTGCTCCAGAGCAAACTAATTTATCCAGGAGCCAAACTGCTCACTCACAACTTTAATGCCAGTAGCTCACAAAGTAGAATTTTTGCTCACAAGACTCCACATCTTAGAGGGAGCATTGGTTGCGATTCATCCAGATGACTCATTGTTCCCTGGGAGAGTGGCCCCAACTGAACGTTGTTAGCCAGCTCTCGTTCTTTCCATGGTCCCCTTCAGACACGTGGGGAGGGAGGCAAGGATGAAAAGCCTTGGAGCCTGTTGGCACATTAGTGAGGCTTTCATTGGCGGTCGACCTCTCCCCTGCTGGAGAGGTTGGTGTCTGGTAGCTGGTAACACGGTGGAGGAGGGGAAGCGACATTTGGGAGGCAGAAGAGACATCTGGGATACCAATTCATATCCCAAGGCAAGCTGGAGGCAAGAGCCAATTTTACCCAGTTGCCAGCTCTGGGTTGGGAAACATCCTGGAGATTTGGGGGTGGAACCTAGGGAGGGAGGGGTTTGGGGAGGGGGACCTCAACGGGGTACAATGTCATAGTGTCCCCCCTCCCACAGCAGTCATTTCCCCCCAAGGGAACGGATCTCTGCAGTCTGGATAGCAGTTGTAATTCCAGAAGATCTTCTAGGCCCCACCTGGAGGCTGGCAACCTTAAGGAAACAGGGAGATGAAGGGAAGCAAGACCCACAGGAGGAGGAGGAGGAAGAAGAAGAGGAGGAGGAGGAGGAGGAGGAGATTGGATTTATACCCCACCCTTCACTACCCAAAGGAGTCTCAGAGCGGCTCACAAACTCCTTTCCCTTCCCCCTCCCCACAACAGACACCCTGTGGGGCAGGTGGGGCTGAGAGAGCTCTTGAGAGAACAGAAGAAGAAGAGGAGGAG